CTCTATCTGTCCCCAAAAAAGGGTATAAAATTCATTTCAGTACAGCGCTGCATGACGGAATAAATGTCAGTTAAAGTACCGCAGCGCTGAATACTGAAAAATGGCCTGGATGGGAAGGGGGTTTAACACCGCGGATGTCAACTGGTTAAGGTGGCCATACACAAATTTAAAAAAAATCTTGGACAGGCAGATCGTACTTGCGATGACCGCAATGCTGAACGGGCAGTGTGCGCACACCGGCCCGTTCGGCATTTGTCTCCCGAGCATCATTCAAACCAGCCGAAAATCGTACGATTCTCTGCGGGTTTTCGAGCATGCTCCTTAGACAAAAGACGTGCGACCGTACAGTAGAAACGGTCGCACGTCTTCATTCACACTGCTCGATTCTATGGGCACCTTTAAGCTGGCCATACACTTTACAACCCTCGCAAGACTTATGTCTTGCGAGGGTTGGAAAGTAATTAAAAAAACGTATGATCTGCCCATCATGGACAGGCAGATCGTACATGCGATCATCGGAAGCCCGCCCCGCTGAGGGGCGGGGTTCCGATGACTGTAATGCTCAACGGGCAGTGTGCACGTGCGCACACCGGCCCGTTCGGCAGTTGTCGAACAAGCACGCCACTTCCGTCGAACACGCAAGTTTTCCAGTTTGCGTGTACGACGGAAGACGTGTGATCGTACAGTAGAAACGGTTGCACGCCTTCCATACACTGTGATTATCGCACGATCGCAGGATTTCTCACAATTATCGTACAGTGTATGGGCACCTTTACAGGAGTGAATTTCCCTTCAAAAGGGGGAGATTTACTCTCACTTCCTTTTGTCTCAAGGACAGGAAGTGAGATTAAATCTTTCTAAAGGGGGATACAGGCAGCAGTAAAAACCCCACAGTGGCTCTAATCCCACACCATACTAACCAAAACTAAAAAAAATTTGCATGGAGTTCTACTTTAAAAGCAACGTTTCTTTGCTGTATCACCAGCACTTGCATCAGATTTGTGTTTCGGAGGCATTGTTGCAAGAGGAAGACAAAAAACGTGTACATTGTATGCACAGAGTAAATAGAGCCAACTTCCTGTAATGTACGTACAGTACTACAAACCAGACCCAAAAAGGCGGGCACTCCTTGTAGGCACGAGCGCGGTAGCATTACAACTACTGGATTGCTGCACGGTACACTTTGGCTGCAGCCTGGGACTTGCTGCTGTACAGCAATAGTCTCTGTTGGTATATACGAGTTGTACGTAAGCCTGTATACACACACCATATATATATATATGGATCTAGATATAGATATATATTACACACACATCTTATGAGGTTTTCCCCACAGTTAATTACTTTTGTTTTGATGGCAATTGTTTTGCACTTTAAAACGCTCTTACATTTTAATCGGAGGATGCCAAACATATGTAAATAAGGAAATGTATGGAGAGATAGATAGATAGGAGAAAGATAGATAGATAGGAGAAAGATAGATAGTAGTTTTTGTGGGATCCCGTTGCTGTGGGATTCGTCTCACTGCATTCTTCCACTCATTGGCTGACACAAGAACATGTTTTTTATTCCCGCTGACCCCAAACACATTTCTCCTGCCACTGACACCTATGATGGTATTCTTCCTCCCACTGATCCCCAACACTGGAGGATTCTTCACAGCATAGCTAACCCAAATGCAGGGGTATTTGTTTCTCCCAGTCTAATGCCAGGGCATTTTTTGCTCCTGCTGACAACGGATAATGGGACATTAAGGCCCCATTCACAATGAGCGGATCTGCAGGTCAGTGACTGAGAAATATTTAAGCTAGAGGGTCAACGGAACACCTAGACAGCCAGCGTTTTCAAAAAGAGATCAGCAATGGTAGTCTCCATGTTTATCTCCTTAAAGACGCATTAATTTTTTTATGTATTTATTACAGGTATTTATATAGCGCAGCGCTTTATATACTGCACACTCGCATCAGTCTCTGCCCTCGAGGAGCTTACAATCTAAGGTCTCTATCTCGCATGCATACATATAGGAGCCAATTGACCTACCAGCATGTCTTTGGAGTGTGGATGGAAATCAGAGTACCCGGAGGAAAACACATGCAAGCCCAGCGAGAACATGCCAACTACTTACGGATAGTGTCCTGACCGGGATCCTGTGTGCCTTGTAATATGCTGCGTGGGAAAAATGCAGCATGTACTTTTTGACAATTCTACTGCATTGACAGCCTATTCAAAATAACTACACTGCCTTAACGCAAAAGCACAGTAAGGTGTGACACAATTCGAGTGTGTTAACAAGAAAGGCACGTTATTCAGCATGTTATTAATCTGAGTTGCCCCGCTCAATATGGCCGCCGCTTGCAGCCCTATTGAGTGGGCAACTCAGAATAATAACGTGCTGGATTAGTGTGATCCTAGTTCATTTTAATACTTTGCTGTGTAGTATGTGTATAGGGAAATTCCGCTGGTGGCGCACGTGCAGTACAGCCTTCTCAGCCAAACCTCTTACTTCTAACTAAACCGGAAGTCAGGCAGTTGGAGATATGGAGGAGTTGGAGCTTTCGATAGAACACCAGCACCAATCGTGCCGGAACGCACAGGGGCTGGTGTGAACTAGCCCTTAAAGTTACTTTGGTTAGTTTTCGACCCAGGATAAAATTATCTACATGTTAGCAGAGAAAACTTTAGCAAAATCTTACAAGTAAATATCTTGGACAACACACTGGTGATATTAGCCAGAAAGCTAGTTTTCAGTTATGGTGGCATCTTTAAAACCAACCAAACAGCTATACTGCAAACTTTCAGACCAAAGAAAACAGAAGACAATCCACCGGGCAGAGCTGTCGCAAGGTGCAGAATGCCATTCCCACATTCCTGTTTAACCTCATTCTCAACTCTTTGAGCATGTCATATTACATTGCCTTCTAGTAGGTAACCTCAATCTTAATCTCAACATGTCAGTCAGCAGTGCAAATGAGTAAAGGTCAAAATAAAAGTGAAAGAGGAGTCTGGTGACATCAGCGTCTGGGTTTTAGGTGTAGCCATTATACTTTGTGCATCAAGAGCAACACTCTCCAGACTTTTCTACACTTGGGAGAAAGAGAAGGAAATCTATAGACTGTGACAAGCAATTCAGGAACCAGCAATTCAAAGATCTCTGCTCTCACTATTGGGAATTCTAGGCATGCAGTCTAAAATACAGAGCAAAAATGTGCAGTGTCCAGGCTGGAATAAATAATCAGTCCCTCATGTAACATAGCTGAACACTTTCCCATGTCTGCCAGACATATGTTCAAGGAAAAGCATCAACTTGTGCGGAGAGGATGGAGGGAGATTTTTACAGAGAGATCTGTATTATCAGATGATAATTATACCAAGACATGGCACCATGGGATGCAAGGCAATCCGGCATGATGGTTAACTGTCTCAGGGAATCACAATTATAAATCTCCATCGAGGACAGCATCAGAATTCAAATTTAAAACATCTGAAAAGCGATTATACCCAAATCAGGTTTAGGCCTGGTTCACACCTCGGTGTTTTACATCGCTGATCGACGCGCTGTAAAACGCCTAGTAAGTGAAATCCCATACTTTCCTATGGGCATGGTTCCCAACTGGGCGTATTTCAGCACGTAGGAATGCGCTGAAAAATGCCCTACGCCCAAAGAAGTACAGGAGCTTCTTTGGGGCGTTTTTCTGCGCATTTCCATTGATATTCCCAAGTGTGGATCGAGGTTAACAAAGCGGTAACCCCAAGCCACACTAGGGAATACAGCGTACAGGTCTTACCTTGTCCGCGATCCCCGCTGTGTCCTCCGGCGGCTACCGACTTCCGTCCCTTGCGAGCGGCCGCGTCGCAGGGGGGGCGGAGCCGGCAGGAAGTTTGAAAGTGAAAAAAATATTTTTATTTTTTTTAA